GATGGTTTTAAATTTCGTTCGCATTTCTCTCCGCCCACTCCGAACCGAAAAACCCGAATTCTGTTCTGAAATCTTGTCGATTCCAACCCGGAACGACCTTCTCCGTCAGGGTAGGCGTGCCCCCTGGGTTTCTGAGACGGCGACGACGGGACCAGCAAGCCTCGTCTTGTTCCTACAGAGCGGCTGGTGGGTCGATCTGCTGACCTTGCGGTTGGCAGCCCGGCTCGAAGCCACGACACCGCCGGGACTCCCTGGACCTTCTGATGCGGTCCACTTCAGAGCAGCGGCTGCTGGTGGTAGCTGGGCACCATCCCGGTCTTCTGGTCTCAGCATCATCACGGCCTGGTTCACGGCCGTTCTTCGGGTCAATTGTTTCCATGTGTCTTTGATTTTTTCCTGCTTTCTCGCTCTGAGAAGAGAAGGCCCGATTGTCTCTGGGAGAGGGGTTGAGTCCTACCCCGCATGTGTCAGGAGTGAGCCCAAGCCCCTGGGTGGCACCAAGCAACAGTGGGTGCTGGATACCCTCTTGACAAGTTAGCGGATTCGAACCCTCCCCGCGGCACGGCAGAAGAAAGTCCTGGCGATCTGCTCCCACAAGAAAACCCCGTGGGCCACTGTCCAGGGTGTAGCACGCGGGCTCACTGCTCGGAACCGCTCAGCGGCAGCAGCGGTGGTTCTGTTTAGGAGCAAACTCACAAGGGCAGAAGCCGGATGGGCCTGTTTGCCGCACTGGTCAGTGTCTTCCCTGAGCGTCCCCTCTTTCACGGAAGATGACCCCAAGGCTCCAGGGGGGTCGATCTGGCTGAAGACCCTGCAGTTGGGAATGGCCCATGCTCACCCAGATGCCTGCAGCCACTTCTGGCCCAGGGAGCAGCCACTTGTCGCCCACTGGGTGCTCCCGCCACTGCCTCTGAGCCCCTGGACTCTGCTGAATCCAACCAGCCCGTCTGTCCCCACCCCCCGGGACTCCCCACAGCATCGGTTTCCTGCGGCCGCCCGATAAAGTGCGGACATCCCTTGGAGGACCAATCACTATTCACTGAGGGTCACAATGGAGCTCTGTGCCCCGGCTGGATGCAGGATGACCACAGAGTGTCCATCTTTAAAGAGCTCAAGGCCAGCCGAGTTCAATACAGGCAGAGATGCCTGGGCTATAAACCAGCGGCTCCAGCAATGGAGTTTGTTTTCTCTCAGTTCTGGGGGCTGAGGGTCCAACATCAATGTGCTGCCAGGGGCGTCCTCTGAAGGCTCTTGGTAGAGGAGGGTCCTCTTTCTTGGCTTTTGCAGCTTCGGAGGGGCCCCAGGTGTTCTTGGCTTGTGACTACTCTATTCTGGTCCCTGGCTGTGTCTTTGCCTCCCTCCCCTTTGGGTGCTTTCTCCCAGGGCACCAGACCATTGGGTGGGGAGTCACCTTACTCTGGCATGCCTTGTGCTAACTAGTTCTAACTGCGAGACCCTTTCCCCAAAAGTTCATGTTCACGGGCCCTGGGGGTTAGGATTTCAAGATAGCTCTGGGAGGCTCTGAGCCCTGGTGGTGAGAAGGGTTACTCAGTGGGCTACTAACCGCAAGGTCGGTGGTTCCAAACCATCAGCAGGAGAAAGAGGAGGCTTTCAGTTCCTGCAGAGAGTGGCAGTTCTACCCTGGCCCCTAGTGTCGCTCTGAGTCAGCATCGACTCCAGGGCAGTGAGTTTGGTGTTTTGGTTTTGGGAGACGCATGCCTGCCCCTCAGTGGTAGAGCTGTGATTCACATGCAGCCCTTCCAGCTCCACCGCCTGGAACCTGAGCCTCTGGGCTAAGATGACACTCAGGGTCAGAGCCAGGAGGGGTCGTGGGAGGCCTCGAGGTCCGCAGCCATGCACTCTCTTTCGCCCCAGAATTCTTCCACCGTCTGAGGTGTGACAAGCCCAGCCCTGGAGGGAACCTGAGAAGCTGAGGGACACTGGGGAAAGCAGGAGGGGACAGTAGGATCTTGACCTTCAGGGGCGCAGGGGTCAGGCAGGAGGAGGTCTGAGAGCCCAACACTAGTCACGCAGAGCAGCTGGAGCCCCTGGTCCACCTAGAGGGGTCTTGGAAGAAAGGCCCAGCAATCCATTTCCAGGAAGATGAACCCAACCACCAAACCACACCCACTGCCGTCGATTCCATGGCCACTTAGTGGCCCTGCCAGCCAGAGCAGAATGGCCTCTGCCGGCTCGGGAGTCGGTCACTCTTTGCAGGAGTAGAAAGGCTCACTGTTCTCCCCTGGCAAGGCTGGGGGTTCTAAGCGCCGACCTGCCAGTGAGCAGCACAATGCGTAATCCAGTGTGCCACCAGTGAGAATCCCAGAACACCACCCAGAAGTCGACTCAACGGCCCAGAGG